CAATACAAAGCGCTTTTTATCAAGTGAGGAATTGGCGTAGTGTCTAAGGCGACGGACGATTATCCAAAAGATGTCTTCAGTTCAAGTTCGAATCTCACTAGAGAAAATATTAAAAATTATGAAAAAATAATGTAGAAAAATTTTTTTTGTCATAGTATTTTATGAGTATTTATAAGAAAGCACTTATTCTATCTAATTATGAAAAATTATGAGAAAATTTAATTGAAGAACCTACGAAACGACAGGATCTGCGCGCAATCTGCAGCCAATCTGCCGTCATGGTCTGTCGACAGGTTCTGCGCGCAATCTGCCGCCAGTCTGTCGTCAGAGTCTGTTCGCAGACCCTGTCAACAGTCTGGCGGCAGATTGGGGACGCAGATGTCTATGGATCTGTCGACAGATCCTGCTTGGATTCGACAGATCCTGTCGACAGTCTGACGTCAGTCTGCGCGCAGATTGCTTACTGGGTTATTTTTGCTTAAATAATATGCTTCTCTCTTTATCTGCCCTTTCTTTTTCCTCTTTCTTCTCTACCCTTATAGAAATATCATACTAAGAATCATTGATAATTACTTATTTTCAGTATTAAAAATACTGGATAATAAGTAATTATCAATGATTCTTAATATGATATTTCTATAAGGGTATCCTTCTATTCTCTATTCTTTTATTCTTATAATTTATATTTTTTCTGTATAAACTAACCAAATTTCTTTCTTTTCTTCATGAACTGATTTATTTCTTTTCTTCATGGACTAACCGACGACAGTTATTTGCCTGATAATTTGACAGGCACAAACGACATGAAGCAAGCTGCAACCCACATGAAGTGAGCTAAGCGAGAGAGCCAATCAGCATTGCAGAAAAGCGACAACAATTAAATCTCTTACATGCCTTTTTTTAGAGTGGACTAGCAAACAGCGCGCGCTACGCACACGCCTTCAATCTCCTCTCTTAATACTTTATTGCACTTTAATTACATCGCGAAAAACTCACACACAAACCTGTAATCTGCATTGTCTCTTCCAGTCTCTCTCTCTCTCTCTCTGTCTCTCCCTGCCTCACCTGTCTCTCCTTGTCTCTCTCTGTCTCTCCCTCCCTCTCTCTCTCTCTCTCTCTCTCTCTCTCTCTCTCTCTCTCTCTCTCCCTGTCTCTCCCTGTAATCTGCATTGTCTCTCCCTGTCTCTCTCTGTCTCTTCCTGTCTCTCCGCGTCTCTTCCTGTTCTTCCCTGTCTGTCCTTGTCTCTCCCTGTCTTTCCCCGTCTATCCCTGTGTCCCCCTGTAATCTGTATTGTCTCTCCCTGTATCTCCTTATTTCTCCCTATCTTTCCCCGTCTCTGCCTGTCTCTCCCTGTCTTTCCCTATTTCTTCCTGTCTCTCATACACAAACCTGTAATCTGCACTCACATTCAAGTACAACCATGGTAGTATACATGGACTCCGCAAACGGCTAGAAAAGTGAAGCCAACATGTAGAAAGAGACCACAGACATAATATACATAGTCTCATATACATAATTATTATTATAGTCATTATTATAGTCTCATATACATAATTATTAAACGAATTTTAATACGGCTAAATGTTTTCATGCTCCTTTATTCTCTCTTATTTTCTGTAATTCTCCTTTATTCTCTCTCATTCTCTACTATTCTCTCCTATTCTCATTCTCCCTCGATATAACCCCGTTCTCGTAATACGCACGAACTGTCACTCGACTCCGCTACGATGACAGCTCGGCGCGACACTAACCGGCCGTAACGCACAGCCAATCGGTATCGCGGAAAAGAGGCAACAATAGGCCTGTTCTTTGTAGTTGCACTGCTGAACTGGTGCAATATATTGAAGTGAAACAAATATACGTTTTCTCACTCTAACTTATTGCACTAGTTCAGTAGTGCAGCTACAAAGAACAGGCCTAATGCCAGCAATAATATCGATAACCAAGCAACTTCGGAACATGACATCTCCTTTTTACTATTTGGATGTACTAAATATCTGTACAGTATAAATGTCTAAAATACAATTTTAGAGACGTCGCAGAGATCTGGATATCTCTGGAAGATATTTTGGATATTTGTGCTGAATGAATATTTAATACATATATTAAATGTTTGATGTAAACTTGCCTAATAACAATATAGTACATGTACCAAACAATCGTCAAAAATCGCCTATAAACAACACTATACTAAAGTATAATTTATTGCAACAAATACTTATTAATCAACAAAAATATTACCAAAATATCAACAAAATTATCGCATAGGTAAATTTATATCAAAATTTCGCACAATTTTAAATAGCCATATCAGCGCGAAACATTATCGTATTTGAAATCTTCTTTTTTTATTTTAAATTTTATTGTAAAGTCTAGTTTAAGGAGCATTCGTCCAATTTTTAATTTACTCTCTCCCCTTCCCGCAGTCTTTTCAGAAATAAAGACATATTGCGTCTCCAAAAAGTTGTACAATTTGACGTACCCTACTAGGCAAATTTTTATAAATTTCATGATAGCCGTTGTAAAATACAGACTTTCCTCTGCAATTTAAAAAAAAAGTGGACTTGTAAAAGTGAACGATTTTTTTTCGCGGAGTTGCGATATATTAAAGTTACCTATGTATTTTAATTTTAAATGAGCATAATACCGCGAAACACTATCGTATTTGAAGTCTTTTTTTTATTTTGAAGAGTAAAGTCCGTACTTTAAGGAGCATTCGTCCGATTTTGAATTTAACCTCTCCCCGCAGTCTTTTTAAAAGTAAAGACGTATTGCGTCTCTAAAAAATTGTACAATTTGTCGTATCCTACGGGTGAACTACATTTTTTTGTAAATTTCATACTAACCATCGTAAAGTATAGACTTTCTTCTGCAATTTAAAAAAAGATACAACATCGCGAAAGAAAGTCGTGCACACCTCTTCTTTATTTCTTTATTTGCAAAGAAATGTCGATATTTTACAATGATTATCGTAAGATTTGTGAAAAGAATTCACTTCACTTAATAGAGTGCGCCAAATTAAGCGATTCAAAAAAATGCATAACTTTGATATGTCGCAACTCCACAAAAAAAAAATCGTATAAATTCGCTTTTTTTTTTTAATTGTACGAGAAAGTCTATATTTTACGATGGTTTTCATGAAATTTATGAATTTAGGATACGACAAATTGTGCAAATTTTTGGAAGGAGATTAAATTCAAAATCGGACCTCAAAGTTCCTCCACCAAAATGTTCCTTAAAGTACGGATTTCACTCTTCAAAATAAAAAAAGGAAGATTTTAAATACGATAGTGTTTCGCGGTATTATGCTCATTTAAAATTAAAATGCCTAGATAACTTTGATATATCGCAACTCCGCGAAAAAAAATCGTACAAGTCCACTTTTTTTTAAATTGCAGGGGAAAGTCTGTACTTTACAACGACTATCATGAAATTTATAAAAAAAATTTAGTTTGCCTAGTAGGATAGGTTAAATTGTACAATTTTTTGGAGACACAACACATCTTTACTTCTGAAAAGACTGCGGGAAGGGGAGAGTAAATTCAAAATCAGACGAATGTTCCTTAAACTGCAGATTTTACTCTTTAAAAAAAGATTTCAAATATGATAATGTTTCGCGCTATTATACCCATTTAAAATTGTGCGAAATTTCGACATGAATTTACCTATGCGATAATTTTGTTGACAAGTATACTATTATCAATATTTCTATTCATTATTTAATTTATGTAAGTTTTTCTTTTATAGTCTTATATAAAATGTATACATAGAGTTATCTTATATATATAAAATCTTTATGTTTAAGATTACAACATTATTATATAGATTTAAAACATCAGTTATAGATTATCTCTTCAAACATTCTTTTGTGGTCTACTACCAAAAATAGCAGTACCTACTCTCACACTTGTACTGCCAAGTTCGATCTGCAATTGAAAGTAATGATTATATTCAATGCAAATTTATATAATTCTTGTCATCTTTATTTTTTTACAAATAGATTAAAGACTTACTGCATGTTCATAATCATTAGTCATTCCCATCGATAATTCAATATTTTTTATATCAATCTTTAATATATTAGATATAGTTTCTCGGCATTTTAACAAGCTAATGAAATCAGGATTTGGACCATTTGCAATATCATGTCCAAATACTCCTATTGTCATGAGACCAATGAACTTCAAATTAGGACAGGTATTTATAATATATTTTACAAGAGCAGGCGTTTCTGCTATATCACAACCATTTTTTCCTGTAATCATATACATATGCATATATGTATGCATACATAAGTATATGCATATATCATACATACATACATACATACATATATATATATATAAATATATATATATATATATATATATATATATATATATATATGTGTGTGTATATATATATATATATATATATATATATATATATATATAAAATACTTATAGATTTAACAATACAGAATTAATCACTACATTATCTTTTTATGTTTATGAAATAATATATACAATAAGATTTTAATTACCTTTTTCTTGACTTGTATTAACTTGTACCATAATATTCAGTTTCTTATCATCACCCTTTTGTAATTTTATCCAAGAATTGTTGAGCACACTTGCAATTCTTTCATTATCAACAGTTTCTATTACATATAAATTTGGTACACTCAAAATCTTATTGACTTTATTCCTTTGTAAATTACCTATAAAATGCCATTGAATTTCCTTGCAATTTTGAAGAATCTGTAAATGTGACGCTTTCTCTACTAACTCATTCACATAATTTTCACCAAAATGTCTTTGACCAGTTTCATATGCAGACAGTATCGATTCGATAGAATGCAATTTGCTAACCGCTACTAATCGTGGTTCATAATACCGATATTCCTACAAGAAAAAAGAATTTTTTATCATTGCATGTCTAATCTTCTACCTTGTATATATCTTTAATGCAATTTTTCACTATACTAACGACTTAATATATCCTACAGAAATAACAATTATCGATAAAAAAGTTAGAGATAAAATACCGATGCTTTTCCTGAAGTAGCACGTAATATTCTACTACACACTAATTTCAAATTTGCAGCTATTTCTGCCATTCTAAAAGGTTATATTCCGATATTACCATCATACATAGACCATCGACATATATGCGCTGCGCTCACAGCGCTAACAGCGCACTCACAGCCGGTCCGATTCATCTTTACAGCGTTTTCATGAGCAAAGTGACGTCATTGGGTGTTTTCCAGATGCGTACACTGTGTTACACAAAACCAGCTTATTGGTTGCATATTATCTTACAATATATTTTAGATAATATGTGACCAATAAACTGGTTTTGTGTACGTGTGTGTCAAGATGTGTTAAACAATTAGAAAGCACTTATTAATACGTGATGTTTTCTGTGCTCACGATGCTTCTGGTTGAAAGATGGGTCACCGTGGGTGCTTACGATAACGAGAGTAGAGCGAGTAAGATCTGGATCCGAGAATAGTATAATCTCCCATCTATAACTGTAATATTCTATGGCCTGCTCTTGCTTCTGTTCTTGCAATCCCATGAACACAGAAGCAGATCAGAGGGTCGATCATGTATTTTTTTTACCAAGGATGAATTCGTGAAAAAGTGAAAATTTTCGCGTAAAGCAATAAAGTGAAAATTTTAATGCGAAAAAGTGAAAACTTTCATGCGAATTGATATTTCCCGTGAAAAGTAATATCCATATTCATAATAAATTAATCAATTACACTCATAGAAATATCATACTAAGAATCATTGATTAATTACTTATTTTCAGTATTAAAAGTACAGTATTTAGTAATAATCTGTGATTCAAATACAGCTTTTAGTACTCAAGTATTTCAATATTTAATGTTACAAATCCGGGTGTATATCAGTTGGACACGGGGCAATTGGACACAGTCCAATCACAAGTCGCTGTTCCAAGGGACCCTACAAATGTCTCTAATCATACGGTGCTGTGATTGGCTGTGTCCAAATGCACCGTGTCCAAGTGCACCGCTCCCTACAAATCCTACCTTATGATTGATTTCAATGGGTGTATATCAGTTGGACACAGGGCAATTGGACACAGTCCAATCACAAGTCACTGTTCCAAGGGACACTACAAATGTCTCTAATCACACGGTGCTGTGATTGGCTGTGTCCAAATGCACCGTGTCCAAGTGCACCGCTCCCGATTTCAATACTTAAATATTGATATGTAATACTTCGTCCAGTGATAAAATACTTACGCAAAACATTGTCAATATTTAAATACTAATATTAGGTGCGCAACTAAGTTCCCGCTGTTTGTCAATAGATGGCTCCAGCAGTAAGTGCTGGTCGATTTTGACATATCCAAAACGTCATGAACCAAGCTTAGACATATGGTAAACAAACCGCTTTGACACGTTAGTGATTTTGTTTTGGCGTCATATACTTTTGGTTGTGTGAAAATGTCTGATTTTGTGCCAAATAATCGTCATTTGCGGGAAGTGTTGATTTTCTTATTTCATTCGAAGAAAATGGTGGCTGAAGCGCATCGAGAGCTCCAAAAAGTTTACGGAGATGCTGCTCTAAGTGAAACAACGTGCCGTGATTGGTTTCGTCGCTTCAAAGACGGTGATTTCGATGTTGACGACCGTCCGCGTGAAGGAAAGCCAAAAGGGAGCGGTGCACTTGGACACGGTGCATTTGGACACAGCCAATCACAGCACCGTGTGATTAGAGACATTTGTAGGATCCCTTGGAACAGCGACTTGTGATTGGACTGTGTCCAACTGATATACACCCAGGCCAGAAATCTTCGAAGACGCTGAATTGGAAGCATTACTCGATGAAGTGCCAAACGCAAGAACAGCTTGCTTCAACATTAGGAGTTACCCGCCGAGCCATTTCCAAGCGATTGCATGCGTTGGGAATGATTCAAAAGCAAGGAACTTGGGTTCCTTATGATTTGAAGCCAAGGGACGTTGAGCGTCGTTTTTCGCCTGTGAACAACTGCTCCAGCGGCAAAAAAGGAAGGGTTTTCTTCATCGCATCGTGATGAAAAATGGATTCATTTCAACAACCCAAAGAAAAGAAAGTCATGGGGACTGCCCGGTCATGCTTCTACGTCGTCGACTCGGCAGAATATTCACGTTGCGAAGGTTATGCTGTGTATTTGGTGAGACCAGGTCGGTGTTATTTATTATGAGCTGTTGAAACCGAACGAAACCATCACTGGGGAACGGTATCGAATTCGGGTGTATATCAGTTGGACACGGGGCAATTGGACACAGGTCGCTGTTCCAAGGGACCCTACAAATGTCTCTAATTACACGGTGCTGTGATTGGCTGTGTCCAAATGCACCGTGTCCAAGTGCACCGCTCCTCCGCGGAACACCTAGGCACGTGGAAAGCACTTGATAGTGTCGTTCTCTCATCGCGACGACTCTCCGCGGGTTTTCGCTCGCGTCGCGAACAGTCTTATTGCATATTTTTTATACTTCTTGTACCGTTTTTTTCGAAGAAAATACTTTCTTCAGATTTAATATTCGTACTTGTTTAATTTTGTGGTTTTTTTTTATTTCATTAAAATATTATATTCTTAAACGAAATTTTTTTAAATGATGAAAATGATGAAAATGATGAAAATAAAACTTTTATTTCGTTCAAGAAAACCATGTCATTTGACGACATTAAACAACACTATTGTTTTAAATAATATTTTTTAAAATAATATTTTTTAAAATTTAATATTTCTCTCAAAATTTAGTAATTCGATTTG